AGAATCGATTTCTTTCATTTCTTGTCCATAGAGAGCTTTGAAGTAGACAAGAAACGCGATGCAAGGCTTCCCGCCAAAAGCCTTTTATTTGTGAGAAAAATCAGAAGATCGCTTTTCAGCGTCGAAGTCTCAGAATGGCCTAACAACTCTTTTTCTTTCACTAGAAGATACTTTCAAGGAAATATGGAACCTCCCAAAGAAGGGCTACCTGCTAGTGGAGAAGAAGTAAAGGGGAATTTCTATACTTTCAGTCCCTGAGAAAGCGTTTAGCCTAAGGTATTTTTTAAGGTTAAAAGATGCTGTAGATCAGAAGATGTGTGACCAGCATATTAGTTTTAGGGCTGGAAGGTCGTGCACAGACAGGATACTCGCTCTTCGGATTATCGTTAAGAAATTGCTGGAACTGCAGCTTAATCTGATCCTCTGCTTTCTAGATTTTGAAGAAAAGTGTTTGGTACTTAGTGCTGTGAGTCCCGATAGAAAATTTCGAATCTTGAATCACGCTTGCCAAAGATCACAGCGAATGGCTAGACATGAGAACGGTGGCTGTCGGAAAGGGGTGTGTCTTCTTCCCATTCCTATTTTGCATAGAAATGGGTTGGCTAATGTGGGTCAGTGTTGCAAACCATTCAATACAGAAAGTGCAGAATCTGGGAAATAAAAGAAGATAAATATACAGAAAGCCTCGGCAAGAATCAGGCCTGTGTGATATTTCATATGCAAGATCTTTGGAAAAATATTCACCCAAATTCATAGATCGTCATGTTGGTGTTCCTTTGAGGGGCACAAATATGGCGGCAGGAAAGAACAAAAACATCTGTCTTTGAACTTTCCTACAAAAGCGTGAATTCATCGCTTTGGGAACTCATAACGATTAAAGAAATATATATTTTTAAACAAGGGGTCTTTAGATAGCATTTTTCAAAAAATCGGTAAGTAACGTTTTTAACCCAGAAAAGAGCTTTCCCGGCCGTCAGCTAAATGACGCGTCACGTAAAAGCTTGGAAATTCGAGCGTCCTTTATAGCGAATCGAAGAAGCTTTCGAACCGAAAATTTGTATACATAAAAAGGTGTTCAGCTGCTCTTAAACCTCATGAAAGTAGAAGCTCACAAGAATCTATTATTTTTTAGTTTGAATTTTGCTGACGTCATGCGAAAAAACTTCTTTACATAAAAGCCGCATGGAACTGACATAACATATGTGAAGGTCCATTAGTGTCCATTAGAATACAAAGGAGAACGCGCGAAAAAACATGTTTACAAATCTCTACCTATTTCATATTAAAAGCACTTAGAATTCGAATTAAAACAGACAATAACAGAGAATGAATTTAAGGATTAAGTGACGATTTGGTAGCTACCGATAGGTCTTTTATTAAAATGCTCTCAGATTTAGCTGATTTCAATTTCTGAGGCAGGGAGTTCCACATTTGTGCCTCCTTTTACGAAATCAAACCTTTGTGGCATTTCGTTTCTGGAACGTGATATTTCAATGTGTAAGTTATTTCCTCTAAGGCGAGATTTGTAGGGGTTGCTTTCACAGCTCCTTGGAAAAAGTTTTTATGTATAATATCAATCATAAGAAGGTAAAGCCGTCTGTCCCTTCTCATGTCCAAATTATCCCAATTAAGGAATTGAAGGAGGTTTTGCTGATCTCTTTGGAACTATACAGGGGCACCCAACGGGAAATTTTGAGAAAAAGACCTAAAAACAACAACAAAGCGTGAATAAAGTTTTCTGAGACTATTTTAAGCATTTTGGGAGATTGCTGGAAAAAAATTATCTGTTCCTCACTCCCAGCAAGACTGATGGAAGAGTTCCCAGCCAGCAACCTTACAACCTGCAACCTGACTCACTGGGAAGTTTCATAGGGTACAATTCAGATCTTGAGTGGTAAGCAACCCATACAAGTAACCCGTAGCAGCTATTCTAGACTTCAAATCCCCTCTGACACCCTGAATTATCTTTTTCCCAGCAACACTTTCCTTCCAAGGACTATTAATTCTTCCACATCTCCCAGCCAGCAAAAATTTGCATGAAGAACAGATATTTTGAGGAACAGATCCATCGGGTGCCCTTGACTATAGACAAGTAAGAGGAAAACAAAAGGTTTGGAAATCGAGGGCAATGGTGCGTAAGTGACGATATATGGTGGTGGGTTAGAAAAAGTGAGATCCTTGCCTACTTGGGAGGCAGGATTACACCTGATGGTTAATTAGATGAAGATTGGGCTTTCTGTGCTCTCAAAGCATTTGGTATAGCTAAATGATCAGTCTTTACGACAGGATGATACCCTTCAGAAATTGATTACTTACGGTTCTAATAAACTCAGTAGAAACCTGGTCCCAGTTTCAAACGTTGGAAATCACTAACTATCGGATAAATAACTATCCAGTGAACAGGAGAATTAATTGCGTTATTCACTGAATAGATATTTATCCAGTGGATAGTGTTATCAAGGTTTTAGAAAAACGATGACCGCTGTATGAAGGTCGTCAATGTTTACAAACCGGATGTGTTAAAGATCAGTACCTGATCTGAAAAGAATCTGTGGAGTGAGATGGATTGACAGAATTTCCAACAGAGAGATTCGAAGCAACAACTAGTGGTGGTTAGCTCGGAAACTATGCTCCTCCGACCACCGTACACCTCTCTCAAAGCCATTTTTATCTATCTTTCCTTCTCTTACCTGATACTGAGTTTATTCCTATGTTACTCTATGATCAATGTAAATATTATATTTATGAGTGTGAATAGAAGATACACTGAAATTGCAGTTATAGTTTACAACGCTTGAGGTAGCGTATAAACGCTAGTCGAGGTAGACTAGATATAAAAATACAGGTGCAAGTACAGTATACTGGTATAAAATATAAACCTAGAAGCAATGTAGACTGTGTTGTCAGTTTCAATTATTGGACTTTCAGTTTTGATGTGGATGAGGCAAGAAAATGGTATCGTCGGTTGATCAACGTCAAAGTTTTGAAAATTTTACTGTTTTCAAGCGTTAGTGTAGTTAGTGACTGTGGACTGCTGCTGCGTTGACTTGTTTTCGTGGATAAGTTAAATCATGTCATGCAAACTAGGGTGATAAACATAAGAAAATAGTGCATTGCTGGAAAAATGTATCTTTGAACTTGACGTTTCGTCTGCTACAAAATATATCCTCAGAAGGAACCGTTAATAAGTAAATTTCAATGTTACTTTGGTAACCGAGCGACTGGTGATGAACCGCAGGGGACCATGGGAAGGGTACAGACGGCAGTTGTCTAATTCCCACCTTCCTTTGCGCGCACATTTTCATCAAGAGAGAGACGTCTGGGTACGAGGCAGGTACAATGCAATATCATCATCATCAAGCCAAGCTGAAGGCTTTCAAATTTTATGGATGCATCGACCTTAGTATCATCTTCGAAAGCACTTATCGTCAAGTTTAATTTTCTCCCACCAGGATAGGCTCACCCGCGGTTTGTTGGTTGGTTGTATATTTGGCTAGTTGTTGACTATCAGCATTCTACACTAGACCAGTTTTAGGGCTACTGTTTCCACTCAGGGAATTAATCAAAAGGAAACCTAAAACTCGCTGAAATCGTTCTAAAACACACTCAGTAGGAGAAAAGTAAGAAGCTAATTCATTAAATTTGTTTCCTGTTTTTCGAACTGCTGTGTCATATTCCGATACAAACGCTTATACAGCGGTATTTGCAGTTGTTACGCAATGTTTACGTCATATTCTTGTTGAAGGTTCCTAAGAAGCGTGGGCTACCTGTCCTGTCAAGCATCTGCTATGGCAGATTACGTAACGTCGACTGGTCCTTGGACTGGTCATAACTTCAAATGGGACCTCTTTGACGTATTAGCAAAAGAACTGGCTGAAATCCATTGAAAGATAAAAATCTCTGCGAATTTAAGGTTTGAAGCCTTGAAAAGAAAATATTAGTAGCGAAAAGCTTATTACCTTTATTAGTTTGCGTGCTATAATTTACATGCACATATTTTCTCATCATCTGTCTTTATTATTGTTTCTTTGGCTATAATTAGTTACTTATCTTTCATTTAAATTTAGTAGTTATTAAAGGCTCCTCCTGAGGATATATATGTTGTAGCACTGATGCGAAATGTCAAGTTAAAAATATATTTTTTTCCCGCAGCGCGCTTTTAGCTTTCTTTTTTTGTTTATCTCTCAGTTTCACGTGTTATTTCTTATTAAAGTCAAGTCAGACTCCGAAGTAAGGCTCGTGGGCAAGAGAAATTTTCTTTCCTGAGGCTCTTGATACTAGCCGAGGCTCCGACGGGTTGACTTTTCAAATTTGTCGTTCGACATCTCTGTCAGCTTGGACGCGTTATCTCTGGTACGTTTTTCAAAAAGCTTAGGAAGGTATACAAAAATATTAAAAATATTTACATGATTTAGGCCTTCATGCCGACCGTTAACGTATTTAAAAACCTCTTGAAGTTAGAAAAATTAATAGAAAAGTCCTTTTAAAGTACGGCAGTTCAGTTCAATTTTTTTAGCAGTGTAGAAAATTACCATGGTCCTGAGTAGTAGTTCAAGAGAGTGTCAGAATATAGTCAACATGTAAATTATAGGAAGTAATACGTAGAGCAACATACTCCCCATGGCGAGACAGGATACTTCGTAAAAAACAAACTTTTGGAAAGTGATATTGACAGATCGTGTTTACGTCTGTTACAAAGAGAAACACAGTTGACTTTGTGTAATAAAGTGTTTTATGCAAATTCGAAATCATCTGCAAATCTGAGATTCGTTTTCATTACGAACTTCCTCGCGTGCCATAGAAATCGATGCCACACCGATGAACAGTAATGATAAAGGCGAATTCTGAAGCAAACAGTGTGTTTGGGATTTAATGGGGTTATAGATAACTTTAGGTCCTAAGTGTTAGGTGTGTTGAAGTCAGAGTAAATGGCAAGTTGTTTAGACTTAATAGTGTTTAATAACTGTTTTTCTTTTCAAAACTAACAGGCCTTTTTCATGATGATCACGAAAGAAGGACGAGAGAATGTGACCACCTGCACCTACTACTCAACAGATCCTCTGGCCGAGACTGGTTGCTTTGACGCGGACTCCATTGCTGTCAAAGTTAGCAGAATTATTCCTTACGTCTTCATCATGGCAGTCTCCATTGCGGGAAATATTCTGGTAGCCGTTGTGGTTCTCAGAGTGCGCTCAATGCGTAAAGCAATAAACTTCTTCATCTTAAACATGGCCATCAGCGATTTGCTTATAACACTCGTGTATATGCCACGGGTGGTCAGCATTTTGATGGCAGGCTATAAATGGTTATCAAACGGAGCTGCTGGATTAGTATTTTGCAAAATGGTGTATTTCATCCACGAAACAGCTCTCAGCGTTTCAATTTTTTCAGCCGTTTGTATCAGCGGTGAGCGATTTCTCGCTGTAATCCGTCCGTTAAAGTCCTTAGCTAACAACACGAAACCAGCGCGTTACCTTATTTTCTTTTCGTGGACTGCGTCAGCCGCAGTACGTCTGCCGATTCTTCTCGCAAACAAGACGACAAAGGAGAGCTGTGGAAACTATTACTGCGAGTTGCACTTGGAAGATTTATTTGGGGCTGGATCCACTGTCGTGTATCATAAATTCAACTTGATTGGGATGTACGCCACGCCGTTAGGGGTAATGGTCGCTCTGTATTCCGCAACAATCTTCACGCTTCGAAGGCGCAATAGGCCCGGGAACACTATAGCTACGGAGGCTACCTCACTCCCCGAGATTTTGAACAGGAAAGTTTCACGCATGGTTCTTGTTGTTATCACTGCATTTCTCCTTTGCTGGTTGCTTTACTTTATTGTGGCAGTGATGCAATCATATGAGGTTTCAATTCCATGCAATGTTCTGTATGTTAGGCTTCTTCTGGCGCATTTTAACTGCGCATTAACGCCTGTACTGTATGCAGTTTTCAGCGAAAACTACAACCGCGAATTTAAAAACGTTTTGTTCGGGAGTCCGTGGTTTCGCAAATCGAGGGTGCGCACGCGCACGTTCAACATGGATCAAGACCTAGACGCTAAACTAGGTGAACTTGGGTCACGTGGTTTCCCAAGGCAAAGATTAGAAACCGCAACAGAAGTAATATAGAAGTGGTATATCTTAATAGGTGCATTAAGTTTCCAAATTTCCATTGTCAATGGTATGTTCTTCCTTTTATTCCTTAGAGATAAATAAGTACAAGATTACACGAAATATAGATTTGAAATATTTTCTTCCACGTGGGTAAGACCGCATGCTGTGGTTCGTTGTTCCCCCAGTAAAAAAAAAAGATTGTAGAAGTGCGGTCATTCACTGAGCTTTTTCCTTCTAGAATTTGGCAGCAGCTCCCACCTTCGAAGAAGTCGACGTCATGTATTCATACATTTAAAGTAGCTCAAAGTCGATCTTATCAAAAAACACTTCCAATATTTACTTTTAATTGGGGTTGAATGTAATTATTGATTTTGTTAAAAACCTTAGCTTTGTTGGCGTTATTTCATATCTTATCATAATTTGAGGGGAATACTAACACGAAAGTTTAGACAAAATTAACTCTAATTGTCCCTGAAGAATGTGAACTAGCCTAATCGGAAACCCTGTTCAGACTTGTAAAATAAAGTCCAGGGACGGGAGGGGGTGGGGACTACTCCTATCTTTCGGCTAGATAGGTATGAACCGCCGGATAGGGTATGGTTTTTGAGGGTCTCCATCCTTAAATAGGGTATCATTTTTGGCCTTGTTAGAACTGTAATCTTGGCCCTGATTGTTCAAAAGATGGATAGCGCTATGTACTGGATAAATCACTATCCAGTGGATAAGTATTAGGAAAACTAATTGCTCTACCCAATGAATAGCTAGAGATTTATCCCATGGATAGCGTTATTCACCTTTTGAACAACTGGGGCCTGGTCAGACTGGGTACCATTATTATATCAGCTAACATTCAAGTTCGTAAATGCTCAGTTACACGAGCTTCTTTAAGCTTGGTGTCATTTTTCAGGCTTGGGTTTTAAATAGGGTATCCACTTTTTTTTGCCTCATCCTACTTTGGGCGGTACACACCTATCCGGAATTTTTAGGAGTACCCCCGAGAAAAAAAGGAAGCTTTCAGTGAGACGTGAGCTGGCATTATGCAAGCTTGAATTTATAGAGAGATTAAGATTCACGTTTACGCCAAACGGCAGACGTGAATTTGTACCACGTGACCAAGTTTGCCCCTTATTTTCCGTTTACTCTTTATTGCTTCTACACAAAAATAAGTAGTTTTATACCAGTTTTAACCATAGGAATCGTTCGGGACTGTTTTTATCTGCTTATTTTCTATTCTGAGAAAGTCGCCGAGAAGTTTGCCGTTTGCGGTAAACGTGAATCTTAATCTCTCTAATGTAGGAAACATATATGACCTGTACAAACCTACTTATCTGTGTTGAAATAAACTAATTAATACTGCAGTAAAATGGCCTGATGTCCTCTTCTGAATGGCCTGTGAACTTGCTCCCGAGAGAGGGTGATAGGGGACAAAAGATCCTCTACCCGTCCTCTCCCCTTTTCCCTATTAACTATCGACGGACTATCACATATTACCGGGTCATTACTGTTAAGGACAGCGATGAATAAGCGCTATAAAAATAGTAAATTATAATTATCAATTATTATTACTGGGTCAATGCTTGTCATGTTTATTAGAACGGTGGCAACTTTTAACTGGTAATAAACTCAAAGGCGCCTTCATTCCATCTTTTATGTCAAATCCGACCAGAGGTGTTGCGGCTTACGCTCCCCATCCGGAATATTGTTTAGATATTCATTTAATTCGTTTTGTTAGTCGTAATTGTTTAAGGCACAATAACATTATTGACTTCACGAGAAACGTGTTCGATTTATGGTCTCGCCCTTTACAGCACTGCTTTAGTTGGCTTTGCTTAGGCACGAGATAAGTCGTAGTAGAGAGTGCCTTATATGGTCTTACATCTTTGGAGTCGATTTGGTCTAGCGCTACAAGCGGGACTGTTATGTAAGTTATAAGTTTCCTTTCTTTATTGTACTTACTCTATTTGGTGATCTTCGTAGTTTTTGGTTAAAGGTTTTTACTTTAATTTCTACGAACGTTTTGACCATGTGTCAAGTCATGATCGACCACGCTATTTGGAAACGTCGAAAGTTATGTTAGTTTTCTATCATACCTAAGTGCACATTAGCCTTCTTAGCTTGTTTACACTTAGTTTTTGCGATTTGATCTACGTTTGGTCTACTCTTGTGGACACGGGATAGTTTCACATTTATCTAATTGTTTTGTCTTGTCATTAGAAAATATTTGTAGCGATAATTCGTGATTAGTCCACCTTTATGTCTTATTAGTACTGTTAAACAAGATTTCTTTGATTTTGTTGAATTATCAGTTAGTTCTTAGTAGAATCCGTAATTTTGTAATGGAATAGTCGGAATATTTATTATTATTATTATTATGTACGCGCGCCATTTAGCTTTGCGTTGCTTGTACTTGTTTCAGTTTACGATATGATCTTGGATTATTCTTCGAATAAACTCAATTCAAGTGATTGTCCGTAAAATATATCCCCGTTTGGTTGTCGTATCTCAAGCGAGTAAGTCGTCGTAACCGCTTTGAGTGTCGACCATTTACAAGAGGAATAAAAAACTCAACACTACTGATGGGTCCGAGGTCCGAATTTCAATCCGGAGTCAGCTGATATACTGAACGCAAGGCTGTTACTAAGTCAAAGTTAAAGCCCCTAGAATTAAACGCTGTGAGCTAGGCCTGTAGTTTTTTAGTTTTTATCCGGGAAGACTTGTAAAAATTAACTCCTGGCCTATTCAATTGTCACAGCAAAGGTAGCACGATCTGCCACGGCAGTTATTTTAAGACCGCGATTTTTTTTATGTGAATCGAACAGGGACTTATAGCCCTGAAGCTCTGTAGTAAGTTTACCAGTCAGCATCCACTTGTTTAACAATCTATCATTTATCTGTCAGTCTATCAATCGATCATTTCAACACCATCATTTTGGATTAAGAAATCGACGCTAGTTTTTTGTTTGCCTCTTCTTTAATCGAAAAAAAAAAAAATGGCTGTTTTGTCCCCACTACTCCATGAATACGCGGACGAACACACAAAGCAACGTTTTCGGGCAATGGCGATTACAAGATCAGCTGAATCCACTTCGATGATAAAAAGTAGCCAATCTTGCGAAAAACAGTTCATCAAAAAAGAACCTCCCCATCAAAGTTGGAACCTTTCCATCTCCAAAAATGGAGTAAAATTTTATACAGGAAACCCTTTTTTGGGTTATTTTAACTCCTAAGTCGAAACCCTGAAAAAGAGTTCTTTTTCCCAGTCTTGGAGCGAAATGGGGTGACTTGTACTCCTTACAGGGGTTGTTTTTACTCTTTTTAGTTAAAACAGTGGAGTAAAAAACGGTTCTGGGGTCACTTTTACTCCTGAAAAAGAGTTCTTTAAACTCCTTTTTGGAGTTAAAATAACTCCACTTCGCACGCCGACACCATCACCCATCGCCATCATCATCCTTATCAACATCAGCATCATATACATTCCCCAGAAGTAATGACAGCAACATTTGAGGTTAAAACACCGAAGTTTTCAATTGCGTTTTTGCCCTTAGTATTGTTGGGCCATCTTTTACATGAGGAAGCTTTCACATTTGGATTTTAAAGTGACGCGACTCGAGCAAAAATTTCTCTTTCAAAAATTTAGTGTTCGGCACGTTTTTTTGTTCCTTTAATTGCTTTAGGAACAAACTAGGAACGAACAATAAAGGAACGTTTTTGCACAATAGGAACAAAGGTCTGCAAACTCGGAACAAACTGGTCCGTTAACAGCAAATTGGAACACAAATTTCTTTTATCCTTTTAGGAACAAAAGGTCCTCTTTCAATAGTTCCGATCCTTCCTGTTCCTTTCGAAGTGATTTGGGAACTTCCCGATGTAATTTCTCGCTCGGCATTGTAAAGGAACACGTTGTTCCTATTTACTGGCATATCCATTGCTTTTGGTCCTTTTCATGCCCCACAGGAACAGAATTGTCCGCTAATCAAGGTGTTCTTTTTTTCTCAAGATGAGTGTTATGTTCCGCGTATAAATGGGGACAGGTTCCGAATTTGTTGATAAAGGAACAAGCGTTCAATTTTACGTAAAGTGTACATAGAAAAAGGGAAGAATAGTTCCTATTTAGCGTAGGCTATCCGGAACTACTGTCTATCACCTCCTCGATACAAATTAATCAAAACATATTCTTCAACGAATAAGTCGGGTTCGAGACTTGCCCGTTACATGCTATATCTCGTTCGAGCTGGCCCGAGCAAGTTCAGGTTTGTCTGTTTGTTCCTTTTGATTAATTGTGTACCAAATACTGACAAGGAAACAATGGGGCAAGGGGCAAGAATGACCAGGTGTGAGCAGAGAATCAACAAATGTGAAGCCAGTGATCAGAAGATTCAACGCTTAAAGGCAAGGCAATTGCCTCTTTTTGATCCTACAAACAACATTGTTAAGAACTTTCTTTCATGGCTTACAGGCATGGGCGGGGGCTGTAGACGTGATCGACAAGCTCAACAGCTCGTTAGCAAGCGCTTAAAGTTTTTCAAATTTTGTTGCGAAGACGAAGACGAGCTCACATTTGACATTGTGGACAATTACCCAAAGCAAGGTATTGAGCAGTACGGCTCGGGTCAATGGAAAGCGATTATCAGAGATCCTGAATTTCGTTTCCAAAAGGGAAGGACAGTCAACTCACTGCTGATTCATGCAGCACGAAGATTCGGATCACTTTCGAAGTTTCCATAGAACTATAAAGGTTTGGTGGTTCTGGTCTCAAATCGCGGAATGATGTTACAGAATTAAATAAACATCGCCCCGATTAGGATCAGCAACCGACAAAACGGTTGCAAGTTCGGCGAAATTGTCGCCGAATGTTCACTGCTAGCGAGGACGACTTTTTAAATAGAGGGATTAAAAGCACGGTTTTAGACAATTGACTGCTAGTTTGAGACCCGGAGATCCCGATTTCACATTTCAGGAGGGAAGGGCGGCCGATTCTGTGAAGAAGAGGGCTCAATCAAAGTTTCTCTAAGTGA